GTCAAAATAATTAGCGTAACTTTTTTACTTATACAAGATAAAAAAAGTGGTCAAGAAGACCAGGATTAGTAAAGATTGATATCCCTGACGTATGGCAAAAAAAGTTTAGATTGTACTTGATTCGTACATAAACTGCTTTTTATAGCTTTATTTTATGAAAAAAAAATGAGAAAAAACTCTTAAAGATAACGAGAATTTGTTCCTTCTGACAAAGTTACGAGATGACGTAACTTTTCGTTCATGTGTATTTGCCCAAAACTTCAGTATATGTGTAAAACTTGAGCACTGTGGTAGTAAGTAATTCCATATTAGTTGGTTTATTAGATGTATCACACAGTGAAAACAGTATTATTATTTACTGGATGACAAAGTTTCCAACACAATTTATTGTTCATAATCATACCAATTATAATCACACGACGTCGAAACTTGAGTTTTATAGTTTCCTTATTTATAGTTTCTTATTCTTCGTTGTGGGGATAGTTGAATTTTTCAGATGTCCAGGTGGGTGGACACTTGTTGAATCATTCTTCAAAAGATTCGATATACAAAGCATCCATTATCAACTACTCTCTCCACCCTGTTACACTGAATTTGAAAACTGTCATCTTATCCCATCCAGCCTATTGTATGGCAGTGTTGTGTGTAATTGCATGTAGCTGAACTAACTATTCTCCAGATTTCTTATCTTATTTGAGTCAACTAATCTAGATTTAGCTGCTAGGTTTATATGTTCAGCTAGTCTGACTGATTGCCTCTGTTCTACTACTTTGACCTATGTATTTGACCTGACAGTCATTCAAGCAGGATATCAGACAAACTAAATTGTTTGAAAGGCTCCACAGGATCGTTTAGCCGACGAAGCTTGTTTCCAATTGAGTTTGTGGATTTGAATGCCACTTTGATTTCCGCCTTGTTAAAAATTTTGCGTAAGGTGGTTTCCGACGTTCCTTCCTTGTATGGAATTACTACTGATGACTTAGATTCCGTATTGCTGGTGTTTTCTTGCACATGTTCGACATGCATGTCGTCATTAATATTATTACCATTATTATCACTATCACTACTATCATTATTTATTTTAGTTTTGCATTTCCCTGCATACTTTTTCACTAATTTATCAGGGTAATTATTAATTTTCAAAGTTCCTCTTATATGCTTGAGTTCGTGTCTTAGATTTTCCTTGGTACTACTTAGTTTTTGTGTGATATTACTTAAATATTTCACAAATCTTATTTGCATTTACACAGCATGGGATGATCCGAAATCCAAATATTGGTGTCCTGTAAACACTAATGTGTGTTTTAACTTCCCATCTTCTTTCCTTTTAACGCTACAATCTAACATTGGAAGCTACGCTTCATGACTTTAAAAGTGGCATTCAAATCCACAAACTCAATTGGAAACAAGCTTCGTCGGCTAAACGATCCTGTGGAGCCTTTCAAACAATTTAGTTTGTCTGATATCCTGCTTGAATGACTGTCAGGTCAAATACATAGGTCAAAGTAGTAGAACAGAGGCAATCAGTCAGACTAGCTGAACATATAAACCTAGCAGCTAAATCTAGATTAGTTGACTCAAATAAGATAAGAAATCTGGAGAATAGTTAGTTCAGCTACATGCAATTACACACAACACTGCCATACAATAGGCTGGATGGGATAAGATGACAGTTTTCAAATTCAGTGTAACAGGGTGGAGAGAGTAGTTGATAATGGATGCTTTGTATATCGAATCTTTTGAAGAATGATTCAACAAGTGTCCACCCACCTGGACATCTGAAAAATTCAACTATCCCCACAACGAAGAATAAGAAACTATAAATAAGGAAACTATAAAACTCAAGTTTCGAAGTTGTTTGATTATAATTGGTATGATTATGAACAATAAATTTTGTTGGAAACTTTGTCATCCAGTAAATAATAATACTGTTCCTTCACTGTGTGATACATCTAATAAACGAAGTAATATGGAATTGCTTATAACTGCAAACGAGTATTTAGCGTTATCTGAAATCAGTGGAGATACGTTCTTTCTCAGGAAACTCAAGAAAGGTAAACTTCTGTGTATTTTGAAAATTATGTGCAGGATGGTGAACGAAGGCTTTTGAGCTGTTAACTACACGATGAAGATGACTTTTTTTGACAAAGAGGCTGTCCTACATGTGAGTTTCATTTCTTCACAGATGTATGTGGAATCTCGAGAAACAGAATCTGTGAGTTATAATTCTTTTGATTATTATATATTGTATGGAGATTGTACAACCTCTGGTGAAGAGATATTTCATTTAGGCACATTTAATATGAGTAATAACAAAATGTTTGGTATTGATAACATTGTTCAGTCAAGGTCTATTTTGTGAAAGATAAACCACTTGACTGTTTCCTGTCTGTCTCCAAGTAACTGTGATCTCGAGAAGGGATAACATCACTAAAACATTCCAATAAGTACGAACAAATAGAATGATAGGGCTTTTGACTTACTCATGGCTGTCACACCGTTTTAAGAGAAAAATGAGTTTTCTAAACGCATCTTCTACACAACCAAATCAGCCAGCGGAGTTTAGCCTAACGTAGTATCGGCCATTTGTTTCTGCACATTACATTCAAAGTGAAGTCGAACGTATTACGCACATTTTAATTTAACTTCCCTAATATAGTTATACATGCCCAAACCAAATTCACTTCTAACAGTTTGAAAAATTTGGGCATTGGCTTTATGATATTCATTATAAGAAAAGTTCATGGTGTATTTCTGAAAGAATGAAAAACAAAACGATATTCTTGCGTTTTACTGACGTTTCACCTGTTAATGCTGCTAATATCCTTGTCAAAGTAGTATTATCAAACAAGAATTTACAAAATCTCATTAACAAAATCAACACCAACTTTAAATGTGGTTAAAAACATGTATTCCTGAGACAAGGACCTCAACAGTTTTTATTGCCATATAGACCATCACATATGTCAGACGATATTGGAAGATTGCGCAATACGCTAAAAAGCAACCTTGTCAATGTGAAACGCCAAATCCCTAGGTATTTTTAATCTAATTGTGTCTACAAAATAAAATGCTTTCAATCTGATGCGATGCGATTTACATCGGATAAACATTGCCAGAGAGAAATCCGGATAATCAGGAGAAGTGAACACAGTAGAGCCACCTCTGTTCGACCACCAAGAAATCCAGTTAGTGAAAAGATTCAAAAATCATCAGTCATAGCTCGTCGTTCACACGCGACGCCAAAGAATCAAGTCACAAAATTGATTTTAACAATATTGAAATAATCAGGAAACATTTCAGAAATCACAAAGAACGTCTCACATCATCAGAAGCACTTCATAACATCAAATGGAATCCAAATTGTCTGAACTGAATATGAATGATGGACTAAAACAGAATCTGACCTGGTTACAGCACCCCACCCCTCCCCATAAAATGACAAAATCAACATGAATGTGATTAGCAGCTTCATTATGTAGACATATGCAGCAATCTACACATGGCTTTGCTATCCTTACCAACTGGCCAACTTGACAACAGTGTAAAAATCACCTCATGCTGATGAACGATGATTAGGTTGTTCTATATAACCTCGCCTAGATTACTAGGTCACTAGTATTCTAGCCGGTCCCAAGCCCGGATAAAGAGGGAGGGTTGGGGCGTGGTGCTAGCAACTCCACCCGCAAAACTTAACCAAATTGCTACAGAAACTTCAACGCACAAATATATTAAAAATTCTACAAGTACAAAAATGACCTTATTTTTCGCTGGAATCGGGGAAGTGAAATGACGCAGGCTGGTGAAAGCCTTCGGGTAGCCAGTCAGCCTATGTGCCTTCTTTCGATGAAAGCAAAAATAAGGATGGGGACGTGGAATATTCGTACAATGTACGAAACTGGAAAGGCTGCTCAGGTAGCCGCAGAAATGAGGAGATATAAAATAGAAGTGTTTGGAATCTGGGAGAGCAGATGGAACGGATGTGGAAGGAGCCAACTACCAGCTGGAGAGACAATAATCTACTCCGGTCACCCAGAAGACGATCACGAGCACACCGAGGGAGTAGCCATCATGATGTCACCAACAGAGGCTAAAGCTCTCATGCAGTGGGAACCAATCTCCTCCAGGATAATGACAGCCAGGTTCAACTCAAAAGGAAAGAAGCTTACAATCATTCAATGCTACGCGCCTACAAACGTATCAGAAACAGAGAAGAAGGAGGATTTCTACAGTCAACTACAAACAATAATGGACAACGTCCCAAAGAGCGATATCAAAATCCTGATGGGTGACATGAATGCGAAACTGGGAGGAGACAATACAAGAAGAGAACTCACCATGGGTCATGAGGCCCTCAGTGAAATGAACGAAAATGGTGAACTCTTCTCAGACTTCTGCGCCTTCAATGATTTGGTGATTGGTGGCAGTGTGTTCAAACACAGGGATCTATATAAGCTGAGATCTTGTAAATTCTGATTTACTTACTCTACTACTTTGATAAAGCTATTAGCAGCAGTATTAACTAGCGAAATGTCATTAAAACACAAAAATATCGTTTAGTCATTCATTGGGAAATACAAAAAGAACTTTTATATTATTGAGTTACCTAATTTAGGTTACTAAAAAGCAGTTGGTTTTCTAATTTCACTTGGAATCTCAGATGATCTCAGTGTTAATTAAAAAACCCGCTTGTCTGCTTCTAATTCAGTATGATAAGGAGTAATAAAGGAAAGACCAATCTGCGCAGCTTGACACCTCGGTATCACTTGTGATGATTATAGCGGCCTGATATCCTGTCTAACAGTCAAATCTCCTAGCTGCATCGATACACCGTCGTATTACTAACTCGCAAGGATCCTAAATTTCAACCTTGCCATGTCTCATGACCAACATATATACATATATATATGCAGAGCATTATTCCACATATACAAATAATTAACTTTGTTCAAATAAAAATCACATTGAAATCATCATAATCAATAAATAAATTCACTTACTTATGAGCATAATTTAAAAATCCATTAAACATTGTATCTGTTTGACTAGTAAATGGAACAAGGTCATGATTTTTATACATATAACGTTTGTAGTGATTAAATGCCTCTGAGTTAGTTGTTTGTGAAGTAAAAGCAGATGCAGAAGAACCAGAGGAAGCAGAAGAAGAGGGCGAGGACGAGGATGAGGATGAGGAGGGAGAATAATAATAATTATTATGATGATGATAATAATAATAACAAACTCCATTAACCTGTCGACATTTTGAGCAAAATTGATTCTGATTATTCTCTGCTGATTGTCCTGTAAAAGTGTATGCAAAACAAGGAGAGAAAGGAATTAGGTAGTTCAGGGTGAGGACGGGAAATACATATATATATATATAAATAATCAAAAGTGACTTTTTTTCCGCAGCCAAAAGGAAAATCATCTTGTCTAGAAAACAGTACATACATTATATATTATTGAGAACAAAAAACAAAAAATAAGTCATTTGAAAACATCACAAGCCAGAAGATGAGATAATTTTCTACCAAACACACACATATTAAATGAATTCAATTTTGCGACAGCATAAAAAAATAGATTTCCAGCTTTTGTTTGTTGTATTTGTAGCCTTAGGGCAATTTTATATCTCAGTTGAGATGAACACCATTTCAGACATTCTCGCTAGAAATAATAATAATGATAATAATAATAGTTTAAACCATTAAATAATTCCTATTGTTAATATTAGAATAAGGCATATAAGCGAAAAAATTTGATGTTGTTTTCAATTAGATCTTCTTCAGGCTTTTACTCTGAACTATGATCAAGATTTGACCGAATAGTTCAACAATATAATTGGGCGCCGTCGAGTTACAAGTAGACATCTTATGTAAAACATATTTGTGAAAAATCTCAGTGAAATTGAAATGAGGAATTCACTGGTGTAGTCGGTGGCACACCGGTAGAATGCTCGCCAAACGCAACATGTGGTTCGGGGTTCGATCCCTAGGCACTGGATGCACCCCTTCACCTCGCTAAACCCACAATAGGACTGGTAAAGATGAAAGGTTGGGCATGATGAGTATAGCAACCTCATCCTGTAAAAATAAACATCACTGCTACCGAAACTTCACTGGGATCGTGAAGGAATTAAAAAAAATTCACTGGTGAAGGTTAAGGATAAAATAGAAGAAGACAGTCAATAGAATTGTTTGTATCAGATCAATTGTGGGGATTTTGACGCTATTGTATATGTAGGCGAAACTTCTAAACAGGTAAATATAAGTGTGGAAGAGCCTAAACAAAGTCTAAAGGTGCTTCCAAAGACCTCTGCAGATTTGGAGAAGAAGTTAGAAAACAGATCAGTGATCACACTGTATTCGATAGAAACAGGACACCAAATCAACTTTGGTGACAGGACTAAGGTTTTACAGAAAGGTTTCGGTTCGTATAAATAAAGGCTGACTGATTGACTGCAGAAGCCCTACCTGTATGGGTGAATCCCAACAGTTTGAACAGACGTGAAGGTGTGATCTTGTTAGTTGATGCATGGCAAATCCTGATTAATAAATAAAAAATGGATATGTATCACTAATTAATCACACTTGGTCTAAATTCCCGATTGTCTCTCTGCATTTTCTTATGGAGAGGCTAACAAATGTTTTACAACTGTTTACCCATATACACATACACACCACTTTATGCCCTGATCAACAGCTGTCTTCGCTCAATACTATTCAAGATCAAATGGCCAGAAAAAATCAGCAACAGGGATCTCTGGGAACAAATTGTGCAACGAATAAACAGGAAGAAATGGAGGTGAATTGGCCATACTATTAGGAAACCATAAAGTGACTTCGCGAGACAGGCTTTCGTGTGAAACCTGAACGAGAAGCGGCGAGTTGGTCATCAGTACGAGGATGACATGGAGGAGGCCATGTGAACAGGAGATGGAAGCATGTGGAAAGACGTGGAGCCAGGTGAAAACTTTGGCGGAGAAGCGAACTCAATGAAAACGTGTGTCTGAAGCCCTATGTTTCTCTAGGAACTAAAGGGAACAATAATAATCCTGTATCTGTCCTCTCCAAGTTCAAAAAGGAAGACATGATTTGATTTCGAATGGTATTTCATAGCATCATCCCTCTGTGTGATCGGTTCTTGAAGGTCACCTTTTGAAAGACCTATAACTTCGCCTCCAACATTATATTCTGGGAAATAAAAAGGCTAACAGCATAAACTGTGGATTATTAAGAAATGAAGCTGACGTATTTGAAGTTACAACTACTGAATAATTCCACATAGAACTACATGGATTCCTATCTTTTAATTGAAGAAAATTGCTTCATTGAAAGGTAACTACGGACGTTTTCAATGCTTGAAACAACACAGAAGTCCAGCTTTTACATAAGACATGATGTATATATATCGAAATTGTTCACGATTATAAGCAGTTATAGACTTATAGAAATTGAAAAAAGGAGAAGGACCATTGGATAGGGTCCCAGTAGCTCAATGGTCTGCGAGCTCGCCTTGTAACCAAAAGGTCCTGGGTTCGAACCCCGGTGGTTGCGAACTGATGAAGAGTCTCAAACTAGGCGGACGAAACAGCTGTCCAGTACTCTCAGGTTTTCCTGTAGTCCTCTAACTGATGTCAGCTCATGATGAAATCCTCCGTACAATCAAAAAGAGAAGACGTAAATTTCATATTGTAATGTTGTTGTTTTTTTCTCAATTTTTCAAATATTCTTGTTACGTGAACTTTTCAGTTTTGTGTCACTTTTTATAATTTCCTTTTTTTCGTCTTATCATCGTTGAAATCTGACTGATAAATTCTCTGTGTTTTATTGATTCTTTCAGTCTGTCCTACCTAAGTTAGCCATTTATCATGTATATATATATATATCAGTTTTGCTTATCATGATTTATAGACCAGTCTCAACTCTACTTATCTGCTCAAGGATTTTAAGAATTGATCAGAATTAAGTTAGAGAATACAGTCCAGGAAGAAGTGTTAACCACCTTATTTTGCCCATGACGTAAGTTAAAATAAGTCAAAAATAGATATATTATTGATTTTTTCTCGAGATAAATTGATGTGAATATGAGTTCAAGAGTAGTATTTGCCAGTGGGATAAACAGTCAGTCAAAATTATTTTCTGATCGACAACGGAAAACTCTGAGAAGACTGGCTTTGAAGTGAATATAGGAGTAAGAAAAGTCTGGGTGGCTGCCTTTTATCACTCTTGATGATATTCTACATTGTGGTGGACTGGATCATGCATCAGACTGTGTTGGGAGTGAGTGAGAAGACAGGAAGTCTCTAGAAGATCTGGATTTCTCGCGTGGGCGATTTATGTATAACGTCACAAACACAGGCCCGAAGACTTGCCGTCAGGCAGCGAAGACAGGAACATAGAGAAAACGGAGGTGGTGAAGATAACCCACCAACCAACAACCACCCGCACCAATCCCCATCAACGCGGGAAACTTGAAAACGGTTACGTTCTACACTTATCCGGCTAGGAAGCATTGTTTCAGCCACAGGTAGTCGGACAGCACGGATGAAGATGTCACAGCCAGCCAGGGAGCCAGCCAGTCAGAATCGGAGAGGCGAGACACACTTTAATAAATCTGGAATCGGTTTGGAAATTGTCTGCTTCACTAAGTCAGCATAGAGAACAGGGTTCGGATTTTCAACAGAAATGTGAAAACTTTCACTGCGGGTGAATCACGGAAAGCATTTCGGGCCAAGTTAAACTTTAGACACCAATAACTACTAATCAGCGAACGACGTCGAATTATCCAATGAGATTCACGAACGTAGTTCAATATTGTATAGCGCTTGATTCATTTCAATGCGTGCCCTTACAAGGTTGCGTTTGCAATTCGAGGAGGATAGTGTCTTTCAGTATTGCCTGGACTTAGGCCTGCTTCGAAAGGAGAGAAGTTGTTCGTGTGGTGGTGTAATGACTCTAAAAAGCTATACTAGGTCAACTGATGGTTTTGTACATCGTTGTGGAATATGGTGGAAGCGAGTTTGTATCAAAGGGTAATATTTCGTAGGAACTTCTTTTGCAAGGTCGCATCTCTCCCTAGCCCATATTTTGTACATTTGCAATTACTGAGTACTGAAACAGCCCATGAGAGCCTCTGCTGCCGAGACGCAGAACAGCCTCGTCTCAAAAGTTCAGTGGTACCAGCACTGCAGAGACATCGCCTCATGGAGAATGGACAGAATTACTTCGTTGTTAGGCGGGGACAACGTAGTAGTCCATGTGTATGAGACAGTGTTGGTGAAGAAGAAATATAATCGCGGTCGTCAGAGAGCGAACAACATTTGGGTCATAGGTTTATACGACACGTCCCTCCGAAAAGGATTTGTTGAGAGAAAAGCAGACAGGAAAGCGACTACTCTGGTACCTATTATAAAGCGACTCGTGAAACCGGGATCAATTGAACATACCGACGAGTGGAAAGGCTATGATTCATTGTCATCCCTGGGATATATTCATCACAGAGTGAACCACTCCAGTGATTTCGTGGACCCAATTACAGGGATTCATACAAATTCCATTGAAGGATTTTGGGGTCGATTAAAAATAGAGTAAGGGCTATAAATGGACCTCAAAAGGATCTCATTTGTAGTTATTTAGATGAACATATGTATAGAATGTGGTGTGAATTCTCTATTGACAGTGCCACGCTGAATTGGGAAATGTTTCTCTCCCATGTTCGGGAAACATACCCACTGTAACCGTTTTATCATTTTTTGTACATTTTTCTATAAATATACGTTTCCGCTTATCATAAACGTCTCTTACATGTGATTGATCCGTTCAAGGTCGTTTGCTGATTGGTTGTTATTGGTGTCGAAAGTTTAACTTTGCCGCATTTCGAACGGGCCAGTGGAGACGCTTATCAACAGCTGCCTTCAAAAACTGACTCCATACTGAAGATCAAATAGCTTGCTGGTCAGAATGAATTAGCAACAAGAAACTCTGCCAATTAACAAAACAACAGACGAGAACCTATTGTTCAAGAAATATTGTGGTAGAAAGTGGAGATGGATTGGGCACACGTCACTTAGGAGACCGTCGAATGACATTGCACTTAATGCAGGCCGTCGGTTGAGTTGAGCCTGAATGGGAGACGACGAGTGGGTCATCCGAGGATGACGTGGAGGAGATCGTGTGTCTGGGGGAGGGAGGAGGTCAGAGATTATGAGCAATCGCAGACTGAGGTGAAGAGGATAGTGGAAAATAGAAGAAAGTGGAGATGTGTTGCCGAAGTCCTATATTCCAAGGGAGTAACAAAAC